AAGGATATCCAGGACTTGAACTCAGACCTGGACCAAGCAAACCTAATAGACATTTACAGAACTCTCCACCCCAAATCCACAGAATATACATTCTTCTCAGCACCACAACACACCTACTCTAAAATTGACCACATCGTTGCATATAAATCACTCCTCAGCAAATGCAAAGAACAGAAATCATAACAAACAGTCTCTCAGACCACAGTGCAATCAAGTTAGAATTCAGAATTCAGAAACTAATTCAGAACTGCACAGCTTCATGGAAACTGAACAACTGGCTCTTGAAAGTTGACTGGATAAACAATGAAATGAAGGCAGAAATAAAGATGTTCTTCAAAACCAACAAGAATGAAGACACAACATAGCAGAATCTCTGGGACACATTTAAAGCAGTCTCTAGAGGAAAATATATAGCAATAAATGTCCATATGAGAAGCAAGGAGAGATTTAAAATCAACACCCTATCATCAAAATTGAAAGAGCTAGAGGAGCAAGATCAAGATATCTCAAAACCTAGCGTAAGACAAGAAATAACTAAGATCAGAGCAGAACTGAAGGAGATAGAGACACAAAAAACCCTTCAAAAAATCAATAAATACAGAGCTTGTTTTTCGAAAAGATCAACAAAATAGACCACTAGCCAGATTAATTAAAAAGAAAAGAGAGAATAATCAAATAGTTGCAATAAAAAATGATAAAGGGGATTCTAAGCAAAAAGAACAAAGAGGGAGGCATCACACTACTGGACTTCAAACTATACTGCAAGGCTACAATAATCAAAACAGCACGGTACTGGTACCAAAACAGAGATATAGACCAATGGAACAGAACAGAGACCTCAGAGGCAACACAACATATCTACAACCATCCGATCTTTGACAAACCTGACAAAAACAAGCAATGGGGAAAGGAGTCCCTGTTTAATAAATGGTTTTGGGAAAACTGGCTAGCCATGCGCAGAAAGGAGAAAATGGACACCTTCCTGACACCTCACACTAAAATTAACTCCAGATGTATTAAAGACTTAAACATAAGACCTAACACCATAAAAACCCTAGAAGAAAATCTAGGCAAACCCATTCAGGACATAGGCATAGGCAAGGACTTCATAACCAGAACACCAAAAGCACTGGCAATGAAAGCCAACATAGACAAATGGGACCTAATCGAACTTCACAGCTTCTGCACAGCAAAAGAAACAGTCATTAGAGTGAATCGGCAACCAATGGAATGGGAAAAAATTTTTGCAGTCTACCCATCTGATAAAGGGCTGATATGCAGAATCCATAAAGAACTAAAACAGATTTACAAGAAAAAAACAAGCCCATTCAAAAGTGGGCGAAGGATATGAACAGACTTTACAAAAGAAGACATACATGAGGCCAACAAACATATGAAAAAATGCTCATCAACACTGGTCATTAGAGAAATGCAAATCAAAACTACACTGAGATACCATCTCATGCCAGTTAGAATTGCGATCATTAAAAAATCTGGAGACAACAGATGCTGGAGAAGATGTGGAGAAATAGGAACACTTTTACACTGTTGGTGGGAGTGTAAATTAGTTCAACCATTGTGGAAGACAGTGTGGCGATTTCTCAAGGACCTGGAAATATAAATTCCATTTGACCCAGCAATCCCATTACTGGGTATATAGCCAAAGGATTATAAATCGTTCTACTATAAGGACACATGTACACGAATGTTCACTGCAGCACTGTTTACGATAGCAAAGACCTGGATCCAACCCAAATGCCCATCAACGATAGACTGGACAGGGAAAATGTGGCACATATACACCATGGAATATCACGCAGCCATCAAAAACAATGAGTTTGTGTCCTTTGTAGGGACATGGATGAACCTGGAAACCATCATTCTCAGCAAAGTCACACAAGAACAGAAAATCAAACACCACGTATTCTCACTTATAGGAGGGTGTTGAACAATGAGAACCCATGGACACAGGGAGGGGAGCATCACACACTGGGGTCTGTTTGGGGGAAATAGGGGAGGGACAGCGGGGGGTGGGGAGTTGGGGAGAGATAGCATGGGGAGAAATGCCAGATAGAGGTGATGGGGAGGAAGGCAGCAAATCACACTGCCATGTGTGTACCTATGCAACAATCTTGCACGTTCTTCACAGGTAGCCCGAAGCCTAAAATGCAATAAAAAAAAACAACAACAAGGAATGGACAGGATGTAAGGAAAACTGATAGAATACACAAAACCACTCATTCAAATTTGGCTATTAAAGACAGAAGAGAAAATGAATTGGCAACCACTTCACACCCTCTAGAATGGCTGTAAAAATAATAATAGAAAAGGAAAACAACAAGTGTTGGGAAATATGTGAAGAAACTGGAACCCTCATACAATGCTGGTTGGTGGGAATGTAAAACGGTTCAGCTGCTATGGAAAATAGTTTGCAACTCCTCAAAAAGCAAAACAGAGGGGTTACCATATGACTCAGCAATTCTACTCCTAGGTATATACCCCAGAGTATTGAACACATATGTACACAAAAAACTTGTACATGAATGTTCAAAGCAGCATTGCTTATAATAGCCAGCAAAGCAGAAACAACCCAAATGTCCATCAACTGATGAATGGATAAGCAAAATATTGTATATTCATATAATGGAATATTATTCAGCTATAAAAAATGAAGTGCTAGTAACATTCTACAACGTGGATGACCCTTGAATACATTATGCTATGTGAAAGAAGTCAGACACAGAACGCCCTGTGTTATAATATTGTACTGTGTGAAACATTCAGAATGGTCAAATGTACAAAGATAGAAAAAGATTAGTTGTTGTCAGGGGCTGTGGGGAGAGGGGAATCCAGAGTGACTAACAGGTTGTGGCAACGGAGTGCAAGTGAAATTGTTTCAGTTGATAGCGCCTGACTGAAGGAAGCAGGAAAAGAGCCAGTGAGATGGGTACAATGGAAGGAAGACAGGCAGGAGAGAGGGATAATCAAGAGAATAAAGTCTCCTTTAAGTGACTAAGAAAATCTTTCAAATTATTAATGAAATATCAGACAGCAAGCGCCAATGTTGTAAAGGGAATTTTCCTCACTGGGAAGCAGCACTAAGCACAATACCTTTGGAAATGTTTCAGTTAGTAATTTATGAAAACAACATCCATTCTTGCTTAAAAGAAAACATTCTCAGTTCCTTCTGCCCCTGTTGGCCTACACTTGGATGCATTCCAGCCTGTGTTTATGTGTCTGGGTTCAGTTTTATCATTGAATAGATATTAACTGTGAATAAGTGTTCCAGAGATGCTCAAGTACCCACGCCTTGAACATTTTGTCTTCCTCCAAAGTCCATTCTCCTCTTTACCAATAGGAGGAGCTGTGTTCCCTCTTCCCATTTCCTTTCCAGGACCTCTGAAGCGGATGTGTCTGTGTCTGAAGCCTACCGCTGGGGAAGCTTCCTGCTAATAGCAGAGCAGAGGGAAGGAAGCCATTCTCGTTTGTACTGCGTGGGGAGGGGAAGCACATAGCAAAAGGACTTGAGAGAGTTCAGCTGTCATGTTTCCTGGCAGGTCATTAATGTTTTAAAGCCCCATTACCTGTCCTGGGCTCAGTGTAACCATATGTCTTTGAGCTTTCTGGAACTTAGGAAAACGCTTTAAATCAGGATTGACAACATTGATTTTACTGAACACACTAGATTCTTCATAAGGGATTCTAGTTGGATAAAGGAAAGGAGTATCTTCAGGAGGAAAGAGATGCCATCGTTTCCTAATTAAAAAAAAAAAAAACAACAAAAATACAAGTTAGTACTCTGATCTTAAAGATAAAACATGTAAGAACGAAAAAGATAAATGTTCATTTTTACTCATTTAAATTCAATCCCTAAGGAATACAGGCACCATCAGTGGTCAACCTGGCCATCTCTGACTCGGCGCTAGAATCCCTCTGCGGATACCCGGTGGAAGGCTGTGTAGCAACTGAGGGGCCCTTCCATTCCTGGGACAGAATCTAGCTTGTAAGATCATTCTTTCTTATCTCAAATCAAAGTCTACCTTCTCATAAATAGTTTTTATTCCTGATTCTAGAGCTAGTCCATAATAACTCCAACTCTTTCAAATATCTGTATTCTTATCTTATTCGGAGAAAACACTCACAGTTCCATCTACCAAATAGTTCCCAGACTTCTCCCAGTTTGGGTTATAAATTCCTTAAGTTAAACATTTGCTAAGTTAATCCATTAGGGAGTGGACATGCACAAATAATGCCACATAAATAAAGTAGTATAATGTAGGAATTTTCAAAAAGAAAACTGTAAAATGTTTGTCACTTAAAACAGTTTTGAAAATGGAAACATCAGACCAATGCTTTATGCCAATAGGGGAAAGACATCTGAGGCAAAAGCGAGAAAAGTAGGAGAAAAGAATGAGACCCCAAAATCTAGTTGTCTAGATGGGCAAGCAAAGAGAAAGGAGCAAAAAACCTAGTACTGAGAAGAGAAGCCCAAAGCCCTCTAGTGACCCCTTGCAGTTGTTAGAGTGGGGCTATCGAGTCCTTTCAGAACCAAGAAACAGTGGCTGCTGTTTTCAAACTAAGAAGTGTATACTGAAGTCTTATTTTGCTTTGGAAATTTGAAGGTTTTATAGAAATAGTGAAATGCTTTACTCTTCAGTAAATATTCACATTCAGGCCATGTGTGGTGGCTCATTGCCTATAACCTCAGCACTCTGCGAGGCCAACGCAGAAGGACTGCTTGAGGCCAGAAGTCAGAGACCAACTTTGGAGCATGGTAAGCATAGCAATACCTGTCGCCATAAAAACATTTTCTTAAAAAATTAGCCAGGTGTGGTGGCATGTGCCTGTAGTCCTAGCTACTCAGGAGGCTGAGATGGGAGGATTGCTTGGGCCCAGGAGTTCAAGGTGGCAGTGAGCTATGATCATGCCACTGCACTCCAGAATGGGCGACAGAGCAAGACCCTGTATCAAAAAAAAAAAAAAATTCATTTTAGAGCTATAAGGCAGCCTATCAATTTACACAGTCATCAGCTTAAAAACCACTGAGGTTCAAAAACTGTTTGCTACATCTTAAAGCTTTAATTTAAACTTAATTTAAGCTTTAAGAGCTGTTCCATTCCACTTTATGATTAGTTTGAAAGCAGTTTTCAATATTGATATGCTTTGAATGTTAGAGCTGGAAGGGCTCTGAAGAGATCATCAGTCTAACTTCATTTTCAAAGTAGTGGCAGAAAGACTCAGAGCTTGCTTAGTGGGGTGGTGGCGGATTCAGAACTAGGTCACAGATCTCCTGGCTTCTCCAGATCCCAGTTCCTTTCCCTGTACCATAGTAATATTTCATAGTAATATCAATATGACCAAAGGAATGGTCATAATGATAATCATCCCATCCAATCTGCTTTGTTTGACATAAAAAATGTAAAATGCATGAATCCTATGAGAAAAGGTATTCAATCATCATGTCATCTCCTGCTTTAAAAAACTCTCATCGCCTTCATGCTGAAAGAACAGAGAATGAACAGTGTTTGCCTGGGAGTCAAGACCCTGGGGCCTCAACCTACCTCCCTTTCTGGTTTACTCCCTCTGTCTCCAATGAACAACCTACACTGGACAACTCAAGGGGTCCTCTCTATACCCCATGCTTTCCCAGGGATCCTCTGCCCTTCCCATCTGGGTCTTTTGAACATTTATTCATCCTTCAAGGCCCACCACAAAAGGCAGCTCCTCTATGAAATCTTCCCTGATCTTTCCAACAGGAACATGACCTTTTCCACTTTTCAGTCCCACAGCTCTGTGAAACCTTTCTCTAGAGCACGGGCATTCTGCCTTGTATCCCAGCTGTCTGTCAGCTTGCCTGCACTCTGGCTGTATCAACTTTATATCATAGAAAGAATTCAGGTATTTTTTGATAATGTTTTTCCAACTTGATTTTGGCTTGTTTACCAATTCAGAACACATGGACAGCAGCTACTTAAAATGATGTCTCTCTTACCAAGTTTACGATTTTAGCCTCCGCAAGGGTAGAGACCACACTCATTTGATTTACTGTTGCATCTACAGTGTGTAGCTACATGTGACACAGTCTATACCCTTTAATAAAGACTGAATGCATCAGAGAGTGGACTAATTTTTATCATTCTATAATTTCCAGAGTTCTTCACATGTGAAATGTATCCACAGACATACTGACTGATTCTCTTGAATCCACTTTCATGTCTAATAGGTCTGAGAACTTGCACATGGCCTTTTCTGTTTTACTCTCTGTGATGCCCTGTAAATGTCCCACATAGGCAGAAGGAAAGACTGGGGTATTGTTAATTAGGGGAAAATAGGCTGCACATACATCTGAGTACATCCTCCAAGTGGCACAAACACTTAGAGTCTTACAGAACTCCAGAAACCAGGTATATCAAAAGCACTGCCTGTCCCTTATATCTTCTAGAGTCCACAGATAGATGGAGACAAAAACTGACCAAAGGTAACAATATACCGTATTGCGTCAGGTAGGCACAAACTAAAATTTAGAGTTGAAAGGGTCCAGTGTTTTTCAAACCAGGATTGCTAGCATACCTTGGAAGGGAGCTTGAGGGTAACAGTGAAGCCTCTTCCTTTCAACGAACTGCTCTGCTCTTATTTAGATTTGGAGAAAGCGTGTTCCCATTTTTAAATAGAATTTTGAAAATGATAATCTGTTATGTAAAAAAGAAAAGCTAAGCACAAGCAGGGCATAGTGGCTCACACCAGCACTTTGAGAGGCCAAGGCAGGAGGATAGCTTGAGGCCAGGAGTTCAAGACAAGCTTGGGCAACACAGCAAGACTCCATCTCTACAAAAAGTTTTTTTTTTTTTTTAAATTAGCTGGGCATGGTGGCAAACACCTGTAGTCCTAGGTAGTCGAGATGCTGAGGTGGGAGTATGGCTTGGGGTCCAGGAGCTATGATCATGCCATTGCACTCCAGCCTGGGCAACAGAGCAAGATTGTCTCAAATGTCCCTAATTTCCAAAAAAATAAAGACCAAACAGAGAGCTGTCTAGCTGACCTGGGAGTGGAATCCCAGAGTTCTAGAATTAAGTCTTTGAAGACAATCTTGATCATGGCAAGGCACGCACCTGTAAACCACCATTTCAACTGTTCTCATTTCAGAGGAGGAACCAAAACCAGAGGTTAAGAGATCTGCCTAATCATGAGGCAGGTTGACAGGATGGGGCTGAGACTAGGCCTTGGGGTACTGCCCTATTCTCTCTGCCACCCCGACTGCATGTGTGCACACATGCATGCACACACACACACACACACACACACACACACACACACATTACCTTCCTTGTACCTGGAATACCAAGTTACAACCATAGGAGTCCAGATGACAGGGTGTGTGGGCTCCCAAGGAGCCAATCCACAATGTACTTTCCTGTCCATTTCTTCCAGGAAACCCGAAGTCAGACCATTTCACATCCTGTTTTGAAATAAAGTTGCAATCCATCAAGAACTAACCAACTTCTCTGTATGGTAATGCTGCCCATTTTCACTTGCACATCTGTTATTTGGCAGTTGGAATACTCTATTATGGAAAATGCTATAGATGGAAGAGGTTAGGTTTCCAGGGCAGTTCAAGAAATCTTTTTAGCTAATAACATATCTGAATAACCACACTAATAGTAGTCATTCAACAAGTATTTACTGACTACTTACGACATGCCAGGCACTGTTCTGGAAGCTTGTAATGAATCAATGAACAGAGGAGACAAAATGCTCACTCAGATGAAGCTTACACTTTAGAGTTGGAAACAGACAATAAACAGACACCATGATGCTGATACTTAGGGAAAGCGTGTTTTGGGCAGTTAGAAAGTGAATGCAGTGGAAACGGCATTATTTCAAATACCTCTGAGATGCAAGGAAGTCAGAATGCCATATTCCCTCTAAGCAGTGCAGATATTTGTATATATAAGCAATTTACTAACTTCAGTGACCACATAAAAGAAGTCTTCTCCTATGTTAGTGGGGTTACATTTTAAAACTATTGATGCTGGAGACTTAGCTCATATCTACTAGATCAGAGTCTTCAGGTGGGTGTGTCAAATACATCTTCTGAAATACACATCTATGGATGGCTTTCAATATACTCCCCACAGTCATGAACTTCTTTTTTTTTTTGAGACGGAGTTTCGCTCTTGTTACCCAGGCTGGAGTGCAATGGCGCCATCTCGGCTCACCGCAACCTCCGCCTCCTGGGTTCAGGCAATTCTCCTGCCTCAGCCTCCTGAGTAGCTGGGATTACAGGCACGCACCACCATGCCCAGCTAATTTTTTGTATTTTTAGTAGAGACGGGGTTTCACCATGTTGACCACGATGGTCTCGATCTCTTGACCTCGTGATCCACCCGCCTCGGCCTCCCAAAGTGCTGGGATTACAGGCGTGAGCCACCGCGCCCGGCTTAGTCATGAACTTCTTAAGTGCAAAGATCTTTAGAACAGAGACAGCATGGTGCTCTGGACTTAGACTCTACATATGCCTAGTTCTGTGGGCAGATCCTGCCCAAGTCAAGTACTGGGAAAAGCCTATACTTAGAAGCTGATGGCACATTTGCAGCACAGAAAAGTAGGGTCACACATAAACCCAAATCCATATGATTAAAACAGATTTATAAGCTAGAAGAGAAAAAGAACATACTAGTGAACCAGGCATGAAGGTTCTGCCTTATTTTTATTTTCATCATGAAGTTTTCCTTTTGGTTTTAAAAAACAAAAGCAAAAAAAAAAAAAACGAAAAAACACTTTTACATGCAGAACATGGTACTCAATGCTGACACTTCTTTTATCAGCAACTGCAGTCTAAATTTTCTATTTTTAGAGGGAAAACATTAACAGCTGTATTCAAAGAGAAAGGATTTTAAAGAGATTTAATGGATGGTTTTGAGGAAGACTAGAAAGAGCATTTTCATTTTTGTTTTGAGTGATGAAAATGGCTGAATATGTGTGCACATAACTAATGTCTGTCATAGAAGGGGAAATTTTTGCAAGGTCATCACCACTGTAAGTGCACATGGCTCACATGTGGCAATTCCAGTGGGTGGCAAATATCCTGTTCTCTCCACATATAGCACATAAGCTCCATACTGGGAGCTTACCCCTGTTTTCTCAACGCCTAATTTCGTACCTGGCTCAGGGTCAGTGCTTGGAACATAATGGCTGCTTGGGAGGGAAAGAAGAATCTGTTGACTTATGACGGTTCACATAGTTCAGGCCAGCGACATTTTTGACCATCTACCACATACCTGGTATGATGCTGGGTGTTGGGGATACAAAAATTAATATAACACAGGCCAACCCTTCAAATCTAATAATGAGAGATAATCCCATAAACAGAGCCTTTCAGTATGATGTAACAAGTGCTCTGACAGAAGTATGCAGGGTATGCTTTAAGATCACAGCAGGAGGGCCCTGCACCCAAGCAGGGAGCTTAGGGGAGGCTTCCAATTAACCTGGTCCTTGTTGAACAATTTACCACACCTCAGTCTGAAGAATTTAACTAAAGGTAGCTGAAAGCCATTCAGTATAAAAAGGAAAAAAGAGAGATTTGCCTTAGCTAAGAAGAGACAGGTTATGTGATTCTTAATCTTATAGATACATCCCTTCAGGAATCTAATGAATAACAAAGCCCCTTCTCCTCAGAAACACACACACACACACACACACACACACACACACACACACACAATTTCATATATACTGTCGAGGAGGTGACAGACCAACCCCACATGAAAAACCCTGTTCTAGAGCCCTGCTTTGGAAAGAATCACCAAAGGAAGATTTTTCTACAGGGTGAGGTTACTATATGAGAAACTGAGGAGAGGCTTCCCTGACCTCCTGTCTAACAGTAATGCCTTAAAAAGCAAACCTGTTAGCCAGGTGCAGTGGCTCATGTCTGTAATCCCAGTGCTCTGAGAGGCTGAGGTGGGAGGACTGCTTAGGTCCAGGAGTTCAAGACCAGCCTGGCCAATGTTTGGTGAGGCTCTGTCTCTACAAAAAGGTTTTTAAAAAATTGGCTGGGCGTGGGGGCATGCACCTGTGGTCCCAGCTACTCAGGAGGCTAAGGAGTGAGGATCACTTGAGCTTTGGAGGACAAGGCTGCAGTGAGCTTTGTTTGTACCACTACACTCCAGCCTGGGTGACAGAGAAAGACCTTGGCTCAAAAAACAAAACAAAACAAAACAAAAAGCAAAATTGTCAGTGTAAAAATAGACAGCATTGAGAATTGAGATTATCTTCCCATTGAAGTTCAGCTACTTACAGGTTGTCTGAAGTCACTGTGGGCCCAGGAATCTGTCTTGAGTTTTGCTAGAAACAGCAGCCTGTTTGGCTGCTATATTAGTAAAACCAAAAAGGGTGATCAGTGGGGTGATCTGTCCAGGAGTCTACTTACACATATTTCCAAGAGCTGGAAAAATCTTTAAAAATCATCTATTCTCAGAAAGTTCCATTCTACACCATCCCTGAAAAGGGCAACAAGGAGCTGGATGACTACTTACTACAAAAATCAGTATCTACGTCCTGGTAGTTTACAGAGGAGGGTCCTAGATCTGCTTTCTGCAACTAAAGAGAATGAGTTTAGTTTCTGCCAGAAATTGCTATTTTTAAGTTATCAGAAAAAACTGTCCAGCTTCTCCTTCTTTTTTTTTTTAACCTAGACACAGCAGCATTCACTTTTCCTTCCAATTGCTCTTCTCTCAATTTCCTTTACTTTGTCAACAGCCCTAAAGCCTGGCTCCCAAACTGAACCCCAGACAGGCTACACAGAACCAGTATCCATGGAATTGTAACATTCCATCACCTGGACATCATACCATTAACATACTGTCAGGCAGCATTTTTATTTTTAAGCAACTAAATTATACCAAGGCTAATATTGGGCCTCCCTGTCTCTTACTTGCAGACTGTGGCTTAGCATATCTCTTCAGCCTTGACTTATAATCAAGGACTAGCCTAATATTTCCCAATTTTCCTTGTGATTTACTCTTTGACTTATTGTTTAGAAGTGTAATGTTTCATTTCAAATATTTGGGGATTTTTCAGCTATCTTTCTGTCATTAATTTTTAATTTAATTCTGTTGTGGTAAGAGAACATACTTTGTATGAATTAAGTCCTTTTGAATTATTGAAACTTGTTTTATGACCCAGAATATAATCGATCTTGATAAATGTTCCATGTGCACTTAGAAATAATGTGTTTTCTGTTGTTGGGTGGAGTGTTTTATAAATGTCAATTAAATCAAGTTGATTGTTCAAGTTTCCTGTATCCTTACTGATTTTCTGTACTACTGTATTTGTTTTACCCATTATAGAGACAGAAGTATTGAAACCCCCCTCTATAATTGTGTATTTGTCTTCTTCTCACTCTAGATTAGTCAGTTTCGTTCATGTATTTTGAAACTGTTACTGGGTTCATACACATTTGGGATTATTATGCCTGCTTGGTGAACTGATCTTTTATTGTGATGAAATGATCCTCTCTACCCAGGGTTTCCTTGTTCTGATGTCAACTTTGTCTCCTCCTTTGATTAGTGTTAGCATGAAAAAGGAGTACTTACTATATGATTCCATTTCTATGAAATTCTAGAACTGCCAAACTAACCTGCAGCCAAACAGGAAGTAGATCAGTGGTGTCTGAGAATGAGGGTGTAGGGAAAGGCAGGTTATGAAGGGACACAGGGAAACATTTGGAAATGATCAAAATGTTTGTCATCTTGAATGTGGTGATGGTTTCTTGGGTGTATGTATATGTAAAAATTAATCAAATTGTTCACCTTAAATATATGCTTTTTCTCTTCATTACATACAGTTATATCCCAATAAAGCTGTGTTTAAAAAAAATATACAATCCTACTAGTACACTTTGGTCCCACTGTCGCAACACTAGCAGCTTTGTTCACCATTGCATTTGTACCATCAGTACAAATGTCAACACTGTGAAATAAGCAAATATAATCTTAGTAGTATTATGAAAATAATTTTGATCTCAAAGAGCCTCTGAAAGGGTGTCAGGGACCCCAAGGGTCTATGGGCCACTCTGGTTTACAACTTCACAACTGTAATTACTCTATTTTTTTCTGTTCTGACTCCTCCTCTAAGTAATTCCAAAATAGTTTCTTATGAAAATACATTTAAAGTCATACTCCAGATTAAAATTATAATACTTTAATCATGTTCACAAACATTTTATAACTTAAAATTATATAAGAATACCATTTAAGACCCTTCCAAGTATGGCTGATGCTATCTGTCTGCTCTGTGCAAGCCCCGTCCAGTCTCCCCACTGACCTACGTTCTCTGTTACCTTCTGGTCTCTGCTCATGCCCTTTCTAATTTCTGTCTGTTAAAGTTCTATGTTTAACGGCCTGGCTCAGGTTCAGCCTTGGCTATGAAGCCTTCTCAACTACTTGTATCATATGCATCCGTCCCTTGCCTTCCTTCCTATATGTTTTAATTGGATTGCTATTTAAATGGTAAGCGACACAGAACGTCTGTGTCTTTAACAATATTGTAAGCTCTCTGGGCTATGTTTTATAACTTTTTATTCCTGCAAACTGCTAACATAGTGCTGAATACATAATAGGTATTTCAATGATTACATAAGTGTGTTTTTTCCTACTCTTACCATTTCTTGTTTTGATATTTCTCTGGTCTTTAGGACCCCTCAGAGAATGTTTATAGACTTAAACACCTGGCTTCATCTTTGTCAAATTTTCTGTGGCTTCTGGTTAGTCAGTGTAGCATTTGTCAGCCTTGGTAAGAAATTCTTAATCTCTCTGGCCCTCTACTATTTTTATAAGTTTTTACTTTCAGCCTCTACTTGAAGTTTCCTCCTATTAACTCTTTTCTTCCACAAATTAGATTGACTCATTGATAAATATACTGATATGACTGGAAAATATCCTGTAGCCTCAAGATGGCCTAAAAGTATGGTTTTGACACTTAAATTACTTTTGTGTATAGAAAATTAAACATTATTTTTTAGTTATGCATCATATCCTTGACTAATCCAAGTAAAGCATCTGCTATGAACATTTTGTTCTCTACTTTCCTAGAAAGGTAGCGAATTTGTGACAGTACTACAAAAAATTTCTTTCTCTCAGACTCATTAGGTAAGAATGACAGGTTTTACCTTTGGCAATTATCAATAAGTATCATCATAATTGAAGTTATTAAGAATCAACATGTAACAAAAGGGATTTTGCCTCAAGAATGCTACTCAGGTAGATTTCATTTTTATGATTTGAATTGGCTACTGAAAGTCAGGAGCCTTGTTAAGTCACCAGGACACAGAATCCCAAAATACAGTAGATGGAAGATTAGTTGTAAAATGTCTTCGACTTGAGCATGTTGAAATTAAGGCAGGTGATTCGGTAATGAATAATGGGGTCTCAAGGCCAGTGATCTCTGATGAGAAAAGTTGGAATGTAAAAATTAAGGTGTTTATCCAGCCTATCGATGGGTAGAGAGTTAATTACCTCTTTTCTGTTTATGTACCTAATGTAATTTTTCTAAGGAAAAAGAGACTCAGACAATTGCTAATGTATAATGTCCATTTAAGGGGCTGTTTGAAATTTGAATTTAAGTATTTATCCTCCATAAGTTTTGTATAGTAATTATAGTTAATTATTTTTAAAGTTGCATTTTTGGCAGGGCACGGTGGCTCATGCCTGTAATCCTAGCACTTTAGAAGGCCAAGGCAGGCAGATACTTGAGTTCAGGAGTTCGAGACCAGTCTGGCCAACATGGTGAAACCCCACCTCTACTAAAAATCCAAAATTTAGCCGGGTGTGGTGGTGCATGCCTATAATCCCAGCTACTCAGGAGGCTGAGGCAGGAGAATTGCTTGAACCCAGGAAGTGGAGGTTGCAGTAAGCCAAGATCATGTGACAGCACTCCAGCCTAGATAACAGAGTCAGACTCTGTCTCAAGAAAAAAAAAAAAAAGAAATATATGATCCAGAAAGCTTACTAATACTTTAAAGGTTTTTCTGATAAGAACAGTGATATTAACAAATGTGACTTTTTGAATAATGAAATGTATCAAGTATACTCAAAATGTGTCAACATTTGGAAGATCTACATAATTCAATAAAACAATATTTTCCAAATGATCCATGAATAACACTACATAAGATCCATTCTGTGCAAGACAGACCAATGGATTTATCATAAGAGTACAGAGTTCATTCATTACAGGTTTAGATTTTATACTGCAACTAATGAACCTTTAAGAAACTACCCCTTATCAAGTTTGGTATGGTATAAAAAAAAATCCATAAGTATCTGGAAAGGCTGTTATTAATAAATACTCTTCCCCTTTTCAGTTTCATATGTGTGAGAGGCAAAGTTTTCTTCATATATTTCAAACAAACCAACAAATTGCAACAGCTTGAATGGTGAAGCAGAAGATCCAGCTGTCTTCTTACAGCTAGACATCAAGGAGACATACCATAATGTACAACAATCCATCCCTCTAATGACATTAAAAATTTTTGAATACAGTTATTTTCTTAAAAATATTATATATGTTAACATATAGTGGGTTGTGTCATTTTAAATTAATAAACATTTAAAAAATATACATATTTTAATGTTTACCTACCCACCATTTTATGGTAGATGTAAGAAAGCTTGAAACAGCAAGTAATGAGACTTGGTGACTAAATGAATTAAACTGATATAGGTACCTGTGATGTAAGAAGACTTGGTGCCCAGAAAATTTTGAGACAAAAGATGACATAAGCTTAATGGACTTGGTTATTCATAGCAGAATTAATTGCCATGATGTGAGCTGGCAGAAAATGCATTCAACCAAAAAATCAGATTTTATAAGGGCTCAGTTAGAATTCCAGCACATTGGCAAAACACGACGTTTCATATCCACACTTAATGGACAGGTCACACACCTGCATAGTGCTGCCTTGCCTGGGATGGGACAGAACTACTAATGGGGTCAGAGCAAAGACTCATCCAAAGCAGAGTGAGCTTAGACTCAGAACAGAGAGTACCAATAGGGCTGAATGTATGCAGACCCGCTGTACGCACAGTAGCAATTGAGGCTCTGGAAGTAGTTAAAGCTCTGAAGGCAGACTATTTGGGTTACCCCTTCCAAGTTGTATAATCTTAGAAAAGGTTTACTTAACCTCTTTGGGTCTCATTTTTCTTAAAATAGGGATAATTATTAAATCATAGAGTTATTTTGAGGATTATAAAAGTAAAGCATTAGAAAAGTTCCCCCAAAAAAGTAAGTACTTGATCAATGTTACTATTAAGCAATATTTTATCTGAAACATGGAGTAAAGTACTAGTCTAATTTACAGAGTGGCAGGGGGTGTGTATGAGAAATATAACATAACACTTTTAAAGTTAACTATGAAATCTGTAAGTTCCATAATTAAAGAACCACAAATTGATCACAATTAAGGTTCTAAGAAAAACATCTACCTTAAAATTATCATTTAAAAATGAGTAAATAGATTTTGTATTGACTTTGGATTCAGAGGCATTTACTGATTGTTTTAAAAATCTATGCACTTCTTTCATGGTTATGAGAATGAAAATACATTCTCAACTAACAACTATGAGAGGCTGGGCTGGTTGGCTCATGCCTATAATCTCAGCACTTTGGGAGGCCGAGGCAGGTGGATCACTTGAGGTTGGGAGTTCGAGACCAGATTGGCCAACATGGTGAAACTCTGTCTCTACAAAAAAATACAAAAATCAACTGGGCATAAAGGCAGGTGGGGTCGGGGGTGGGTGGTGGCTGTGGCAGGAGAATTGCTTAAACCTGGGAGGCAGAGGTTGCAGTGATTCAAAAATTGCACCACTGCATTCTAGCCTGGGTGACAGAGTGAGACTCCATCTCAAAACAACAACAACAACAACAACAACCAAAAAAAACGACTATGGGGCAAGGTGACATATTTTTCCTTTTTTTTTAATAACAAAGCAAAATTAAGCCAGGGGCAGTGGCACGTTCCTGTACTTCCAGCAACTTGGGAGGCTGAGATGAGAGGATCTATTATAATAACTATGTTAACATCAGCATTTACAACTAGGCTCAACATGAAAAGCAAAAATATACACTGAATGGAAAATTACTCAGGAGCCAAAGAACTATTAGCCTACATGAAAGGGAAGTCCAGAGAGTGGGTGGTGGCAGAGAAGGGAAGGGGTGAAATACTTCTGTCCACAAAGGAGGGGCAGGAAGAAAGACTCTGGAGCCTTGGCCTGAGTAGGGGCAAGGCAGAGTCCTCCAAACAGCTTCCCGGATGGCTCCCATTGCTGCCCCACACCTAAGACACACATGGAAACAGGAGCAGAGAGTTTGCAAAATTATCTCACAAAATAAACTGCCAGTTTAAGGTAGAAAACACTTAAAAGAAAAGAGGATATAGTAGTCTGGAAACTGTTGTCAGTTATGTCAACATACGGCAAAGAACTTCCATAATCTTACTTCTGCAAGTCACTCCCACACTTCTACAGGGCTCTACCAGCAAATAGTGGGAGCCAAGTGTTCTCTGCATCAGGCCACAAACTGCCATAGAAAACAGTTGTCCTAAACCTCCAGAGCAGATAGAAATTGCAGCAGCAGCCTTGTCACGCACAGCCCAAGGAATGCTTCTTCACAGAATCAGCTTTATGCTTTCAACTGCCTCACTGAGGTAGGATAAGAACTTATATGGTGGTCAGGAGGCAATGAAGATTTATACACAATCTATGCTTCTAATATACTCCAAACTGACTCAAGTACTGTTTAAAAGCAAAGGAGGGTGTGTAGGAAGTTTGCGAGTAGGAAAACAAGGAAGCCTGCTCATCTGTGTGAGCCAAATGGTATACTTCTCTTGAGCAAATCTTTTGGTTTGAGTGGGTAAAATACTCAAGACTCATGGTGACTACTTATGAGAGAAAAAGGCAGAGAAGGCGCCAGGGAGATTCTGATTTGTGATCTTTTCTCAAAAACAAATTCCTACCAAGATTTTAAAAAAGGTATTGACTTACCTGGAAAATATCTGTCTTATCTTCAAATAGATTGACAAAATATTTATAGTCAGCATAAGCCCAGAACTTGGAATGATCATAATCTCTAAATGGTCCAGAGATACTAGACTGGTCACAGTTCCACGTCAGAAACTCTTCAAGAGTAGCTTCTACATAACTACATGTAGTTTCAAATTGAGGAACTGCAATGTAAGAGAATGCAACTTTAAATGTATAATGAACACATTTCCTAATTATTGTTGTTTTTTTAAAAATAAAAATAATTTCAACCAAAAAGTTAACTTTCAAGACTAATTAAGGCTGGCGCAGTGGCTCATGCCTGTAATCCCAGCACTTTGCAAGGCTGAGGTGGGAGGACTGCTTGAGCCCCAAGAGTTTGAGATCATCCTGAACAACATGGTGAAATGTTGTCTATACAAAAAATACAAAAAAATTAGCTGGGTGTGGTAGCATGTGCCTGTAGTTCCAGCTACTTGGGAGGCTGAGGCAGGAGGATCACTTAAGCCCTGGAGGTTGAAGCTGCGGTGAGTAGAGATTGTGCCACCACACTCCAGCCTGGGTAACACAGTGAGATGCTGTCTCAAAACAAACAAACAAACAAAATCCAAAAAGGACCAATATCATCAAAAATGTACCATCACAGCACAGTAGTATATAAAGTTTAATTTTGACAAACAAAGTGCATGTGGCAAGAAAGCTGCATGACTCTGGGAAATAGGAGTTATTTCTAAATGATTTAAGTAACTCCACCATAAGCCTAAACACATTATACTGTCTTAGGAGTTTTCACTTCCTAGAATTCAATCCAACTGAATACTAAAGCCATTAAATGAGCTACTTACCCCTAGGGTGGACTGAGCAGGACTTTTCTGTTGAGGCCAGTTATCTTAGGCAAGCCTGATTTGCAGCCCTAGAACCTGGCCTCATTAGAAGGCTTCAATTTCTTTTACAGTAAGCTCTGTACTTAAAAAATGTTAATCTAAAAATATAAAAATTACATATGAGAACTGCTACTATCAGGGGAAAATTACCATGAATGGAATGAATGGAAATGACAGATCTTTTCATTTCCATAATGATATCAAAATAGAATTTTTTCACTCTTTCCTCGTAGTAGCATCCTAAAGGTACTGTTCTGATTTTGTTATAATGGCAATTTCTTTCTGGGCAGTATAGTTGTTTTTCTTAGTTTCCCTTATGCAATGAAATTATTCCTTTCTAATTTTACCATGACTATTCTTTCATTTAATGTTGAAGTAGTCTAGGCAACTATAATTTTCATCCTACTTACTGTAAAGTGTTAGGTAAGAAGCTCAACCCAGGTCAGGATTTGGCAGCAGTGTACAAACTAAGCTTGTTTTTAATTATTATAAAAGGGGTCTAAAATAGTTTTTACACAACAAGATAACAACTATTTTTCCATTTTGTTAAACTTTCATCATTTTACAAATAAGAAATAATACATGGTGCCTGAGCTCTAGACATGTCTTTTGATCACGCTATCCCCCCTACTTTCAGATGTTTAGGGTTATTTCTACAACTGCTTGCCAAATTTACTGCCAACTGAGATACAACACTACCACTGAGCACGTATCTTGGCAAACAAATCTGATCCAAAATGCTATGTGATGTTCTCTATCTGTTTCCTAAAATAAACTAAGGAACACACAATATTCAAAAATGCCAATTATTAACACTTCTATTTCAAGTATTCTAGATAAACTCCAACCAAGACCTAAAATGGAAATAAGAAATATACTCAACAGAGAGGAAACAAAGTTATCCTTACTTTTAAAATCATATGCCTGTCTAACTAGAAAACCCACCAAAACAACAAAGAACTACCTAGGCTAATAAGTGGGTGCACACAATAAAAACATACAGAAACAAATGGCTTTTATCTATGATCAATCACAACCAGTTAGAAAACTGTAATAGGCAAAAATATTTCCTTCATAACAGCTATACAAAATTTACAATATTTTAAGGAATCTACAGACCTATATGAAAACTCTGTCACCCAGGCTGGAGGCTGGAGGGCAGTAGTGTGGTCAGAGCCTTGAACTGCTGGGCTTAAGCAATCCTCCTGCCTCAGCTTCCTGAGTAGCTAAGACTACATGTGTGCACCATCACACCTGGCTAATTTTAAGGTTTTTTTTTTTTTTTTTTTTTTTTTGTAGAGACAGGGTCTTGCTATGTTACCCAGGCTGTTCTGGAACTCTCAGCCTCAAGTGATCCTTCTGTCTAGGCCTCCTACAGTGCTGAGATTATGGGTGTGAGTCACAGTGCCATGTCACAATCTTCATAATATATAAAGAATTCAAAAAAATTTTTAAAGCCTAAAATCCTAATAAGGAAATAGTCAAAGAACAATTATCAGGAAAAAATACAAATTACTAATAAACATGAACATATATTCAACATCACCAGCAATCAAATAAATGTAGTGTGTTTTTTTGGTTTGTTTTGTTTTTTTGAGACAGAGTCTCATTCTGTGGCCCAAGCTGGAGTGCAGTGACACAATCTTGGCTCCCTGCAACCTCCGCCTCTGGGGTCAAGTGATTCTCATGACTCCCAAGTAGCTGGGGTTACAGGCGTGCACCACCATGCCCAGTGAATTTTTTGTATTTTTGGTAGAGATGGAGTTTCACAATGTGCCCAGGCTGGTCTTGAACTCCTAAGCTCAGGTAATCCTCCCGCCTTGGCCTCCCAAAGTGCTAGGATTACAGGCATGGGCCACTGAGCCCAGCAAAATAAATGATAAAATAATGAGATAACATTTTTCACATAACAGGGCCTTGCTCCGTCTCCCAGCCTTGAGTTCAGCAGCATGATCATGGCTTACTGCAGCCTCAACCTCCCAGGCTCAGGTGATCCTCCCATCTCAACCTCCCAGGTAGCTGGGACAAGAGGTACACACTACCATGCCCAGGTTATTTGTTTGTACTTTTTGTAGAGACAGGGTTGTGCTATGTTGCCTAGGCTGGTCTTGAGCTCCTGGGCTCAAGCAATTCTCCTGCCCCAGCCTCCCAAATTGCTGAGATTACAGGCATGAGCCACCATGCCCAGCTTCAAAGATTTTTAAGATAAGTTTCAGTTTTGTCCAAGGAATAGCAAAACAGGAACCCTTACATGTTCTGAAAAGAATATAAATGGAAACCACCTTCCTGCAAAGCCCTTAGCCATATGTTTCAAAGCCTTTTCATTCTTTCACTTCACAAATATCTGAATGTCCATTAAGTGCTCAGCCCATGATGAGATGTGGCCCTTGCCCTCAAAGAAGTGATCATCTTGAGGGGAAGAGACTTTAAACAGGTAATAACACAACCATGTGATTACAACTGTGCTAAGTGTTACTAAGAAATATAAAGCATTCTGAGGTAATTGAAGAGAAGGATAGATCTGGTCAGGAAAAATGACATTTAAGCTAAGATCTGACAGAAGGAGATGAATTAATTAGATAAAGCTGGGGGAAAGGGAAGTGAGAAAAGAGAGGCTAGACACAGGGAATGACATACAAATGCAAAGGCCCTGAAGTAGGAAGAAACAAAGCCCTGGAAATGCAGAACCTGAAAAACGCTTGTCTGGCCTGAGCTCAGAGACAGAAATGATGCTGGGCCTTCCCCACCACACCAGACATTATGGTATTCAGCCTAAGGGTAATGGGAAGCCATTTAAGGGTTTTAAGCAGATAAATAAGATTAGATTTGTTTTTCTAAAAGGTGTCTCTGGCTTCACTATGAGAAATGGTGTGGGAAGGGAGGGCAAGGGGTGCAGAGAGACTAGGATGAGGCCAAGCAACTACGGAGGTGAGAGAGAGCGATCAGGGTAATGCCCACTAGAGGATGGCTGTGGAGACAGACAGAAGCAGGCAGATGCTAGATATTTAGGATGTAAGTCACTGAGTCATAAGATACCACTCAAGACAGGCAATCAAAATGACTCAGAGGTTCTAGTGTAACGAGTTTCACAGGTAGTGCTGCTACTGATGGTAATGCCCATATCCTTTGACCCAGTAACTCTCCTTCTAGGAATCAATCCTAAGGAAGTAATCAGAAACTCTGACAAAATTTGTTTGCAAAGATGTTCACTATTGTCTTTTTAAAATTTAAAACTTGTAAGCAACCTAAATCATCAAAAATTTTAAAATAAGATACTAGCGACAATGAAATATTAGGTGGCCATTGAAAAGTCACACAATCTCAAGAGAAGCTGCTCATGTGAAAGAAAAAGCAAGTTGTGAAAATTAATATAACTTTATGTTTAAATTACAAGGCGGCCTATATGGCCATACCTCAAAATATAACTAGTGATTATCTTTGGGTAGTGGGACATTTGCAAGTCATATACTTAATGAGGGTAGTATCTAGCATATATAAAGAACTCTTACAACTCAATAATAAAAAGACAAAAACAATTAGAAAGCAAAGGATCCCAATAGGCATTTTTCCAAAGAAGCTATACAAATAGCCAATACACACATAAAAAGATGCTCAGCATTATTAGTCCTTAGGGAAACACAAATCAAAACTATAATAACACTTCCCATACACTAGAATAGGTATGATTTTTTAAGTGGAGTGTTGCCAAGGATGTGGAACAAACTGGAACTGTCATACATTAAAGGTGAGAATATAAAATGGTACAGCTGCTTTGGAAGACAGTTTCTCAAAATGTTAAACACAGAATTACTGTATGACCCAGCAATTCTACTCCAAGAGAAATGAAAATATATATCCACACAAAAAATTGTACATGAATGCTCACAGTAGCATTATTTGTAATAGCCAAAAAATGGAGCAACTCAAATGTCCATCAACTGATGAAAAGATAAATAAAATGTAAATATTTGTACAACAAAATATTATTTGGCAATAAAAAGAAGTATTGGCCGGGCGCGGTGGCTCAAGCCTGTAATCCCAGCACTTTGGGAGGCCGAGGTGGGTGGATCACGAGGTCAAGAGATCAAGACCATCCTGGTCAACATGGTGAAACCCCGT